CCCATACTCATTGAAGTATGTAACACTCTCTCTCTCTCTCTCTCTCTCTCTCTCTCTCTCTCTCTCTCTCTCTCTCTCTCTCTCCCTAAAATAAAAAACAGTAAAATAAAAAAAATAAAGTAAATGGTGTGCGCACCCGGCGCACCTGCGCCCCGCCAGGGCGCACCCCCCAGCGCACCTGCGCGCAGCGCACCGGCCCTGAGCGCAGCGCACTGCACGCGGCGCGCGCCGGTGCGCGCGCACCTCGGGTCCGCGCACCGCGCAGCGCACAGGGTCGGTGCGCCGCAAGTATGATCAGTATCGACGACATTTTGAGTTGGCGACATTCTCCATATCTCCCCTCCCACCTTCGTGTCTCTCCTCCCTCCTCATCCGTGTATGATCATGTGCCTGGCGCTTCGTCCCTGTGTTATGCACCAGGCCTCCCACACTGTGTGACGATGATGATGGTGATGTTCAGTCTTCGTCACCACACTGATTGGGTCTGATTATTGGTATTTCAGTCTTCCGCTGCGCTATCATTGCTCCATTTTTGCGAGCTCCGTTCTTGGTTCTGGTCTGCGCCATTTGACATGCGACAGTTTGGTATCGGAGCAGACCTCTCAGATGAGGATCTGCCCAATCGAGTTGCAATTTTATTAATCGATTAATTGATTGATTGATGGATTGATTGATAATCCCTGCAATTTTTTATTTTTTTATTTATTTATTTTTTCTTTTTGTGGTCTTCTGCAAATTTGTGCTAATCCCCGATTAGCGCTAACCCGGATTAATGCTAATTAGCAATCTCCAATTATCGTGCTAATCCCTGATTAGCGCTAACCCAGATGTAAAGTGATTACGGTTAAAATCGCGATTAGCGCTAATTAAGGGTCAAGTCATCTCTTTTATGACATCAGTAATTACTAATTACTAATTAGTGCTAAATAGGTAAAACACTAACCTACCCCGTTAGCTCTAACCTTTCTTTTTTTTTTTTTTTTTTTTTTTTTTTAGAGAAACACCCCCTCCAGTGATAGTGGCGCTGGTAAGGGCAGATGAAATCAGACTCATACTCATTCACACTTTTCATGCATGTAAACAGTAGCGCAGCAAACTGGCGACATGCGCCCACTCAAAACTCAGAGATATAGCATCCAGATACGAATTCACTTTCAACTGGCTATGGCAACTCAGCGCCCAAACAACTCACTGTTCACACACACCGGATCACCCTGTATATTCCACACGCATCACTATGAACACTCGCACCTACACACACACACTTCACACTAAACTACAGCTATGGCAGCTATGGCTGCCTCTACCCTATCACTATGCTACGCTCTTCTCTCTCGCCCACTTCGTCCTTC